CTTTCCTTCTTGTTTGCGTCATCAGGAGGAGGTGCTGGAGCAGCAGCAGAAGGAGCGAGAAGATCGCAGCTTCCATCGCGTGTGCATGTTCTGCAATGACGAATTCACCGGCAACAGGTCAGGTCATCGTGACTGTCAAACCCAAATCACAAACAAAGAGAATTGCACGTTGTGGATTTGAAACAACCATCTTGCATACATTTATTGGGTAACAAATATTCCCAATTTAAAAAGAAATCAATACAAAGGGTGAGACACAGCCACTCTTTTAAAACACCTTAGACCAAAGAACAACTTATCGGACAATCTTATAAGCCATAAGATAGCCTGGTGTTTGTCTTCCTTGGTTGGGACCAAAAAAATAAAATAAAAAAAAGAGCCCGATAAGCCAAAGTCAGCGTCTTCAAAATCATCTCTGCAATTGATTAATCAAACGAATGGAATGACGTGTACATTAGCGCCATCAAAGTTTGGGAACCACTTTTGAACGAGCGTCTCCAAACTTTTGACGACTGCCACAATTGAATTGAATTGGCCAATGATAACGAGGCCGCCATGGCGACTTGTTTTCAGGTCGGATCTCCTGAACCACATGGCCCACGAGCACGCCTTCAGCGTCGGGCTTCCCGACAACATCGTCTACTGCGACGAGCTTCTGGACACGCTGCAGAGCAAAGTGGACAAGTCCGTCGACACGCTGGCCGTATTTTTTTTAAAAAAAATTATTAATCTTTTGGATAACCTCGTCCTCTAATTGTCTCGCCGCGTCAGCCTGCAGTGTTTGTACTGCGAGAAGACGTTTAAGGACAAGGTGACGCTGAAGGATCACATGAGGAAGAAAGCGCACCGCCGCATCAACGCCAACAACCGACAATACGACCGATTCTACATCATCAACTACCTGGTAGCCGCAGCGTCGCCTCATCGCCGTTATCCGGCTTGGCCGTTTTCCACAGAGCTCGATTATCCTCGCCCGGCTCAATAGGATGCGGAAAATGTCGTCTTCAATTAGCTTTATTTCAAGGGGCGAAAAACTGCCGAAATCTCAACCTGCCGTTATTGGTGACAAAGCTAAACATTTAAGGTCGTATGAAAAAGTGTTTATGTGCGACATTCAAACTTGTGTTCTGACTAAAAAAAAAAAAAAAAAAAAAGTTAACGTGTAATCAGATGTGCAACAATCAATCGATTGATGATCACATTCAAAACTGCTCATGCTGATGTGTGACGCTTCTGCCGGCAGGAGCTGGGGAAGACGTGGGAGGAAGTGCAGAGCGAGGACGACCGGGAGCTGCTGGACGACAAAGACGAGTGAGTGGACAAGTCGCCGCTGGGCAGCCTGCTACTTTTTTGGGGCGTTTGTCTGAAGGCGTTTGTCTCTTGCCAGCGACTGGTCCGACTGGCGCGCTTGTCCCGTGTCGGCCGTCTGCTTGTTCTGCGATCTTCGGCGCGACGCCATGGATGACATCTATGCTCACATGAAGGTAGTTGTCGCCCATGCTTGGGAGAAAGCCAAGCGGGAAGTTTGAGGAGTTTTCCACTAAACTTCAGCCGGGGTATGGGGCTGGTGTCTCAAGCCGCCCCTGCGCTTTCATTGGAGATGTCCCAATATTTTTGTCCGTGTTCCAGGAAGTCCACGACTTCGATCTCCAGCATCTGAGGGCGGAGCTCAGTAAGTCTGCCGGCGCCATGCACACGCGCGCAATCCGGTGTCTAAATGCGAACTCCCTCCCCCCCTCCCAGACCTGAGGTTCTACCAGCAGGTCAAGCTGGTTAACTTCATCCGCCGTCAGATCCACCAGAACCGCTGCCACGCCTGCCAGGGCAAGTTTGGCTGCAGGGGCGATGTCCTGCGACATCTGCGGGAGCGGCAGCATGCCATGATGCTGCCCCCCGCCCGCACCTGGAACCAACCCCAGTGAGTCTCTGCCTTGAATGTTCAGACGGAATATCGTTATTAGTTCATCATCATTCACTCAGAAATTTATAGCTGCAACAAAAGCTGGCGGAGGTGGCAAATTAAGACTGAGAACGTTGTGGATTGCTCATCAAAACACCCGTTTGGAACATCCGACAGGTGAACAGGCTAACTGATGGGCTGAGGTTCACCTCTTTGCGAACAACTGCGGGAGTAAAAATAGTCCCAACAGTTTAAGGACAAACATCCTCAAATGGGCTGAGGTTCACCTCTTTGCAAACAACTGCGGGAGAAAATAGTCCCAACAGTTTAAGGACAAACATCCTCATTGTACAATTGCGTGAATTGGAATATAATCATCTCTCACTATAAGATGGTTCATCTTTCACCGCTTTGCTGTTTCACAGTTTTTTTGGGGGGTTTTCTTTTAAACACAGTGCAGTGTGTTCCACATCCTGATTGGCCATGGGAATGTATGTCAACATCTTCCTGTACAGCTTTTCAAATTTTCTCTAGTACAAATTATTATTATTTATTGCAAATTTCTCCAGTGTGGGACAAATAAAGGTTATCTTAGATTATTATTCGGCCAGGCCGACACCCGAGCATCATGGGAAGTCGACTTGACGTTTGGTGCCTTGTGTGACCCGTTCAGGTACTACTTCCCCACCTATGAGAACGACGCCCTATTGTGTGCGCTGTCCGACAGCGACGGCGAGGAGAGCGATGGACGAGCGGGGGAAGATGGCGTCCCGGTCATTGCTGAGGACTTGTTGGACGCCAGGCTTGTCAAGGAGAACAGCGTCCTCAGGAATCTGCTTAAACCTACCACGTAAAAACTCACATGTGGTTCGTCACTTGCTGGACACCGGACTCGACCCTTTGAGGCACTTTTTTTTTCATGTCACCATGTCGCAGTTGTAAAGACAGAGCAATAAATGGATTTCTATTTGCGGGCTTTGTCACCTGGTGGGGGATTTGTATATATACAGACTTTTTTTGCCCCCCCCCCCCTTTTTCATGTGTTCGTGTTCAATATTTGTTATTTTTCAATATTTTACCCATTCCCTCCCATTTTTCGTAGTGAATGGCAAACGTGACGTCATTAGTCCGAGGTTTTGGAGTAACTGGAGTTATCTGGAGCAGTCGTTTGCGATTCGTCGCAATAGTGCTCCGGATATCTTGAACGAAAAATAATATTTTCAAACTTTTAAGTACGACTACCGTCGGAGGAGGTTGTTCGTCTTCCAAAAGTCACATTTTTAGTTCCAAATGTTCACTCGTATGACGTGACCAACACGAGCGATCGATCAGGAAGACTTGTAGTGCGCTTGTTAGCCGATAGGGTGTGCTGTTTGTCCAACAAGTCAGAGCTCGCCATCAACGTCAAGTGGTGCTCACTTGATGAGAATCGAATCGATGCGTTTAGCAGGTAGAAACATGTTTTTGTTCTTGTCTTGAGGCTGGTCGGTACAATGGCTGTCAGCCATTGTGACGGGATTGCGTGCGAGTGGTTAGCCGCCACTGAGCTAATGGCTAACGGAGCTGCAAGCCGGCGAGGCGAGTGACAGGCCTGCGAGGAGCCGGATGAGCCGAGTCCGAAAAGGTAATGATGAATGACAACAGTGCCTCTTTTCCGTCTTGGGTCGTCTTCCGGCCCAAGCGAACGTGAGACATCGTTGCTCTTCCGACGGCTCTTTTGTTGTTAGCTGGCGATCTGACGAAGCTAATTGTGGCCACTTCCGGGCCCGGTTCGTCACAGGAGCCGAGCACCACGCACAACAGCACAAACATGTCACCATGCAACATTTCGAAGCAGCCCCACGTCGTTGTTTGGATTGGAGCTCACCTGAATCAACAAGCGCCGTATTCCTGTTCGCACATGTCATAGAATTCCACTGGAGGAATAAGAATCTTCGACGGAGCAATCCAGCAGCAGCTTTATTTATATACAGACTCGAGGTCCCCGCAGAGACAAATAAGACAATGCAAATATACTTGTACATAGATGTAGGTTTGATTTGTCTAATTTTGTCCAAAGTCATCATCGAACGTTTAGATGACTTTGGCCCAGTGCATACAAAGATTTTTCAAATCATGTTTATCTTACAGAATAGAATCATGAAGACACAAAAACAACAAAAAAAAAAAAAATAGACAAATAAGACAATGCAAATATACTTGTACATAAATGTAATGTAGGTTTGATTTGTCTAATTTTGTCCAAAGTCATCATCGAACGTTTAGATGACTTTGGCCCAGTGCATACAAGGATTTTTCAAATCATGTTTATCGAACAGAATAAAATCATGAAGACACAAAAAAAAACAGGCATTTACAAACCCAATTCCAATGAAGTTGGGACGTCGCGTTAAGCATAAACGGATAACATTTATTAATTGAATACACTACAAAGACAAGATACTTAATGTTCAAACGCATAAACGTTTAGCAAATAATCATTCACTTTTAAATTTTATGACTACAACACATTCCGAAAAAAAGCTGGGACAGGGTCATAGGATTTTTCAAATCATGTTTATCGAACAGAATAAAATCATGAAGACACAAAAAAAAACAGGCATTTACAAACCCAATTCCAATGAAGTTGGGACGTCGCGTTAAGCATAAACGGATAACATTTATTAATTGAATACACTACAAAGACAAGATACTTAATGTTCAAACGCATAAACGTTGTTTAGCAAATAATCATTCACTTTTGAATTTTATGACTGCAACACATTCCGAAAAAAAGCTGGGACAGGGTCATATTTCCCACTGTGATCTATGACCTTTTCTTTTTAACATTCTGGACTTTTAGCATTCGAAAAAGCGAGCGATCACGGAGCACGCGTGTCTACGGCAGCCTGTCATTCAACAATTGGGGCGTTTTGGCTTCCAGTAAGAGCGCATGCGGCCTATTAGATGGCAGAAGTGAATGAAAGCCACGGTCAATGAAATCAGTTCATTAACCTGTCAAAGTATTTGACAGAGCTAGCTATTCCGGCTCAAGAGCAATATTTTGAAAAGTAATTCAGTGGACTGACGCAAGTAGGGCTTGAGTGCATATCCTATCGTTGGAAACTGGAAACTGGCCTCACGTGAAACCATCAAAAGGTCACGTGATGTTGAATGACGTAATGGCTGGTGCAAGCGCATCCCGTCACGAGGGGTCCGGGCATTCCTGGCCGGGCGCGGGGGGTCACAAGGGCCCGCGGTGGCGTCACATGATGTCATTCCACACTTGGGTCCCAAGTGAGGAGCGAGAAGCAGCTCGAGTCAGCCTGGAAACTGCGCCAGAGTGTGGATAGGACTGCACGCGCGTGAGTGTGTGACACCATGAAGGTGACTTGCGAGGAGGTGAGTGCGCCCACTTCGTCGTCAGCTTCGCTTCAGGTCGCGCTGTTTGACTTCCCGTTTCTCGCTTCCTCTTTGGGTTCCTGAGTTGTGTGTGAAAATTTGTTCCACTCACTTATTGTGTGTGTGCGCGTGTGTGTGTGTGGGTAGGCATGTTTGAGGTGTTTTAAATGAGCTCAAAGTTGACTTGAAAAGCAATGTTAGAACAAACCTGTTGCCACTCATGCTGCAGCAGAGAAGACCCTTTCTGTGTCTGTGGGTGTAAGCGTGTCACATAAACTGCTTAGCCCCCACTTGCTCCCCCAAAAAAGTAACGCTGTGAAATCTAAAACTAAGATACTACTTTTGGTTTGGGTGACATATTTGCACATTTGGATCTTTTGTAATTTTGTGACCTTTAAATGCTCAGAAAATAATTTAAAAAAAAAAACAATAATTTTCATTCCCTGAAAATCAGGCACTTGACCCCGATTTCCAATCACGCAAAATTGTAAAATGACGACTTGCAACTTAACTAAACTCAAAAGTTAGATGAAACATAATCATGCTAAAAATGCAGTTTAACATGACGTGTGTTGGGTGTCCCGGCGATGAACCATCGGGTCAAGGGTAAGGAACATCCCCGTTCCTTCAAACTTGACCTCCGGGCTGATTTCCTCCTGCAGGTGACGCACTTGGAGCTCCCCATGGCGGTCTACGACGAGAACATCGCCAAGAACCCGTTCTTTGTGGCCCTGGAGAAGCTCAGGCCGGACCTCTGCGAGCGCGTGGCCCGGCTGCACGGCATCGTAAGAATTTAGCACTCAAATCAAGTTTTGTATTTTCCTTGTTATTGATTCAATCTAATCTTGTAGTTATTTTTGAAATACAAAGCTGTACGAATAATTGGTCATGTTTTGTGAGGGATGTTGTGGTAGTACGGGATACCGGAGCCGAACGTAATACGGGTTTTTGCGCTCCATGTACGAACAGTTTCAGAGTTTGATCCGCCTTGCCGGCGGTAAGTCGGATTGGTTTCCAGTCAAGTCAGGTCACCTTTATTTCTCGAGCCCTTAACTCATTCACCCCCAAAGACGTTTTTAAACGTCTTCTCAGACTTGGTCTAGAATTGGCTGGTACTGAATGAGTCTCACTCCATTAGCTACTTGACTGAACTTTTTTTGAGCCATGAATGCCCCCCCCCCCCCGCCCCCCGCTATAGCCCTATTCTCTTGTTTGATGTCCTGTATGTAGCAGTAAAGCGGGTTGCTGTCTCCATTAGCTTGTCGCTACATGCGCAGGTTCTGGTCCCGTGCTGTGGAAGTCTCGAAGGCAGCATGGTGTCGCAGCTTCACTTTGACAGCTACGTGGTTCAGCCCGTGGAGGACGGATACCAGACGGCAGACGGAAAGGTTGGCCTTTTTCCATCGCGAATGAAAGACCCCCCCCCCTGAAAAACATCCACTTTAAACCCCCTTCCATCTTTTGCGCCTTCTCTGCAGGAGGTCCGGATCCTGGACAGGCAGGTCCTGTTGGGGTCCGGCCTGCCGCCGCCGGTGTCGGTCCCCATCCTCTTTGAAGAAACTTTCTACAACGCCAAGGAGGAGAGCTACAGCATCTTGTGCATCTCCAGGCCGGTGGACGCGGCGGAGCCGGGTCCGGGCCCGGAGGCGGCGAGGCGCCACCTCAGGAGCCTGGAAGAGGTCAAGGAGTTCCTGGGCCGCCACAGCCACAAGTTGGACAAACTCATCGGAAACTTCTGCCACGCCTTCAAGGAGCACGACAGGAAGGGACTCAGGCACCACATAGTAGGACCTGCTTGCGCTTGCCGCTCTTCTGTCATGTGATGTGTGAATATGTCGCGCCACGTGGATATGTCACGTCGCGCGTCCTGTACGTCTCGTGAGCCGAATATGTTGAACGTCTTTGGAAAACGAAAAAAAACAACTCCAAACAAACAAAAAAACAAGTTTTCAGCAACCACATTGGTGTCTTTGCATTCATTTGGTGACAGCGAGTTTCGGCGAACGTGTCACATGACGTGTCGGAAAGGTCACGCGACACATGAAAATGTCTGTCCGTCTGATGACGACGTCTTTGTGCCGTCAGGACTCGGTTCACGGCCTTTACACGCGGTGTCTTCAGTGTGTGCTGCGAGACGCTTGCCTGGTGAGTAGGAAAAAAGAAACGAGCGGTTCACGCGCTCGCTCATGTTGACAATCATCATCTCCGTCGCTATGGTAACCCTGTGATGCGACTCAAACGAGTTGGACGATGCTCTTGATTTATATGATGGAAATCACGGTACTCTTGACTGCCTCAAAGAAGGAAAAGCAAGTGTGGGGGGGGGGTAGCTGCTTTCAAAACAATGCAAAAAAAAAAAATGGAAGAAAAAAATTCGTTTCATGAAAACGTGAACTTGTGGATTTCTGAGTCATGACTCCCGCGTGGCAGAATGAAGCGGGAAGTCGAGTTGCCGCGACGTCGCCGTGACGTTCTGGTGACTTTCCCGCAAGACGAGTTGTCGTGATGTTGTCGCGCTGTGTGCAGAAGGTGCTGGCCAAGCGGGAGCTCCAAATGAGTCTTCTGAAACAAGCGGTGGAGGTAACGAGGAAGGAAGTCGCCCGAGTGTTTTTTTTTTTCAAGGCTTGGCGGGCTCGCTGACGCGCGGCCGCCGTGTTTCCGGCAGGTGTACGTCCATCACGGCATCCACTCGCTGATCTTCAACCTGGTGGGGACGCTGGAAGCCAGCCAGGTGGGCGCAGGCCTGTGCCGCGTGCCCCCCCCCCGGAGGCGGCCGCTTGACGCCTCGTCCCTTTTGCGTGTTTCCGACAGGACGCCGCCTTCAACAAGATCACCAGGAGCCTTCACGAGCTGCAGCACAAAGACGTCGGCGTCAAAGCGCACCTCAGGTAGCCGCCGCCTGCCTCTCCTTCATTGTGAAGGGGCTTTCCCCCCCACCCCCTCACACGCATGCAATTTTGTTGACCTCACTGGGGCTCCCCAAAACAACCAAACGACAACAAAAAATGTCCTGTGTTCACAGTACCTTGTCCAAGCTCTCAGCTTATGTTTCTTCTTCTTCTTCTCGTTCCCGCCGTATTTGCGCTTTCAGCATCAACTTGTCTGCCGCCAAACGGGAGCTGAGTCAACTCAACCAGCAGACGTCGCCGCTCCTCAAGCTGCTTTGCCTGCGCAAAGTGGCCTTGACCGCCACCCGCACGCCGTCCCGCGCAGGTAGCGTGGCACCAAAACGAGCGCGAAGCGGCGCGCCGCGGCTCACAAAGCTCACTTTGAATTCATTTGCTGCCGCGGACGTTTCCGTTTTCCCAATTGCGATCCAAGCGTTTGTGCCAATGACAAATAAGTTGTTTTTAAACCTCCGGCCAGTTTGTGAAATTCAGGTTTGTAAAAAAAAAAAAAACAAACGTCCCCGACGATGGCAACGTTGCGTCATTTTGGATTTGAGGCCAGCACAGCTTTTGAGTTGAGGATAAAAAGATTCAGCTCCTCACGGCGATTATGAGGGAGACAAACGTGATGGACGTTGGGCAACTTTAGGTCTTCTGTTCTCCCGTCGGCAAAAAAAAAGTCCTCGCCATGTGGCCGCCTGGCACGTCTGCTGGCGAGCGTGTCGTTTGCTCACACGCTTAATCCAATCAGACGCGTCCACAATCCGAGTCGCTGTTTGTCGCTCAGCGGCGCGGCCCGCTCCTAATTTTGTTTATCCGCCGGACAATTATCTCATTGGAGGGGCACGACGCGGGGAAGGCGGGGGCACGGGTGGCCATCCCGCTCGCTTCGGATCACCGCGCGTGTCTTTAGCGTGCGTGGTTATTATTTGCGGTGTTCTTGTTGTCGTCGCTTGTTGACGATTTTCCGTTTTGTGTTTTGCAGTCAGCATGGAAGCGGTGTGCGCCGACGACCTGCTGTCGGTCATCCTCTACCTGCTGGTCAAGATGGAAATTCCCAACTGGTTAGTGGGGGGCTGGGGGGGGGGGGGCACA